AACCTCCGCGCTATCATAAACTTTTTGTAGATCAACATTCGGTTACTACAAACGTATTTAACTCGCCCTTATTTTAATTACAATGACCCGCTTCATTTGCCTGATCCCGAATATACACATGTACTGCCGCACAAATATTAATTTCCTTACACATTCGCGAACACAAAATTATATTTAGATACGGAGGTCTTGTTACAAAGTTCGAATTACGTTTGTTCAGATTCCATAAGAATAATAAACAAAAATTTGTAAAAGGAATCTAAAGAATATTTTGAATTCTGATGAAATTTCTAGGATATTCCATTCGAAGAAGATCCTAAGGTGATATTTATACGATTCTTTTAACATTCTAAAGATTCCAGACGTTCTTATTAGTTTTATACAAATTCTAAGAATGTGCAGAAGAACCGTTAAATCCTAGCTATATTCTATAATCGCAGGAATATTCTAGAAAAGCTCCGAGGAAAGATTAGGAGAAGAATTCTAATGCGACTTCAAAGGTTATCAGAACGTTCTTGGCGATTCTGTAACGGGAGAGGTCATTTGGGATTTCAATTTTTTTCTCGAACCTTCGTTGGAATCGTATCAAATTTTAAATGTAAGGGTAGATCCGTGTTGTTTTTGGAATATTATTGGAAGTTGCAGGGTGTCGAAATTTAGATATTTAAAGTGTCCCATAAAAAATCGTCCGCGGTGGAATTTCACTAATAAAAATTAAAATCGTGTTGGAAATGAAGTGCATAATTCAAGTTTCATCGCCTCTTTTGTCTTCGTAATGAGTTCAGGATATTATGGCGCCGCGATAACGCAAGGGAATCTCAAATTAAGCCTTTTTTAAGAGCTAGATAAAATTACATCAGTGAAATCGACATAACGCAAAATCAGACCGTGGAAAACTTGCATCAGCTTTCCTCTGTATGAAAATTAATGACCTAAAAACGTTCGGGATTGGTAACGCAAAAAGATCTAACCAATAGGGAATTTAGATATAGCCATTTTTAATTAATTCACCATTTTCACTTTGTCCGTTCCTATGTGTCGCTACTAGATCTTTATCTTAAAAGCTATTCTACTATTTTCGGTATTTGGTTCGTTATGGTGTCGAGGCTTGCACCAAGACACCTTTGGTTAATATCATTTCGCAAGAAAATTTCCTTTCTAATGATAACAATAAGAGGGGGGGGGGGGGAAAGGTGTTCCAAGATCAGTGTGTAAATTCGAAATGGTGGTAATTAATAGTTATAGAACCAAAACCTTCGCTTTTCTCGGATTTTTTTACATTTCGAGAAACCTTCTCTAAATTTGATCAGCTGTTTTTCGGTTAATATTAGGTCTAGAAATGCGCTTCACCAGCCAAAGTCTAGCAAATTTAATGCCCTACAATTTTGTAATGCACTAGGTTACAAAAATATTGTTACTTTACGAGTTATAAGCGAAGGTTCTTACCCCCTTTACAAATTAGTACACAATCTTGAGGCCGAAAACTTATGATATACATCCTGGTGTACTCCTAAAAAACCTGTAAAAATTCCGTTAACTTTGGAATACGTCCATATAAAATGTGATATCGACTGGTTTAATATGAGAGCTCAAATAAGAAAGCTAAGTCTAAATAAGGGCTTCATTGGAGCACTCGCTGGTTCTCAATCCTCTAAAATCGGCAGTCATGTTGTTTGGTAACAAGCAGAAAGTCACCGACTTGAAACATTTGGTAAAATTCAGAATTGGCGACAAAGCTGTTGCACTAAAGGAGGAAGCAAAAAATTTAGGAATAATGATAGACAATTCGTTTAGATACAACAAATTACTCACTAGCTACATTCAGAGAGCATATGCAAATTTAAAATTTATCTTTCCCCATAGGCACTACTTGTCCCAAACTTTAAAAGCTCAACTCTGTAACGCGCTGGTACTAAGCCACTTTAATTACTGTTCGCAAGTCTACGGTCCGTGCATCACTCAGGATATGTCTGCAAGAATACAGCGAGTACAAAACTCCTGTATTAGACTAGTATTTGGTCTTAGGAAGTTTGATCGAGTATCTTCCAAATTAAAAGAATTACGCTGGTTCAGCATGAGGGATAGGCGACTGCTTACTGCGGCGTGTCTGTATCATAAAATTATCTGGAACAAATCTCCTCCATATTTATACCGCAAAATATCTTTTAGAACCGATGTTCACAACTTAAATTTACGGTTTAGTGGTGGGATTACTCCACCCTCTCATCACACAGAAATGTACAAGAGATCTTTTAGTTATAATATTTTTAAAGTATATTCGTCTGTTCCAGATTTGATTAAGCCCCTTTCTCCGCAGTATTTCAAAATTAAATTGCGTCAAATATTAGCCCATGACTCTGTACGTACGTTGTAGATTGTCATTCATGTCTATCTTGTTTAACTTGTCTCTCGTCTCTTTGTCCGCTTTTCTTAGTATATTACTCAATCTCTTTTCATCTCACTCTCATTTAGTTACTCCTATGTGCATTTATTACTATTTCATATTTTCCTTTTTATTATATTACTCAGTTATAAGCATTACTTGATTATGTTAATTCTAATTGTATTCAGGGAGTCGGTAGAAGATCAGAACCTGCCTGTGCAGCAACTGAACCGATAACCCCTGTGGTTTCCATTTTTTTAATTTGGTGGAAATAAACACATTATTATTATTATTATTATTATTATTAAAAGGTTTCTAAAAAAAACCATGTGGGATATTTTGGACATCAAATTTACAGTTGTCTTCGGGTGACGAATTTAAAAGCCTAACGACTTCAAGTACATTTTTGAATTTTTGATGAAAAAAGATTAAATTATTCGATTCCATGTGCATCATAGGTAGAATGCTCCTGATACAGGAAGTGAACCAGAATAATGGTTCATATGACAATACACCTTTAGTACTTGCGTCATTTTTCATACAGCTAGGAGTTTATCCCTTAATTGTAGATAGCGATTCTTGGTCCATCTACGGATTTGTAACTTTGGAAACAAACACCCCTACGGTTAACTGCACGTCACACCAGAGCATAGAATACAATAGAAGCGCTTCTGGTTAGACATGAATCACTTATTCGGGTGGTAGTGGGATGAATGTGTGCTTTCAGAAGAAGGGACATTGTCTGGTTTAGTAACAAGTTTCATAAATTTACTTCCGCTCCTCAGGGTCACCGATAGCGACGAAGAGTAGTTTCGCAAGAGAAGATCATCACGAAAAGGGTGTGAAGCGAACTAACGACTTATCTTGATCTTTCGGACGAGCATAAAATTATTTTAGGGATCTCTTCCACTTTCCAGAATTTTGGATTTCCTTCACACTAATTTCTGATGGTTCAACCTTCGATCGACAATTTTCCAGTTTTGCATCGCTTCCTACAGTTGGAAGCGTATGTAACTTTGAACTCTAACCTTACCTACTATAATTGCTATTATTATTGTGGCATGCAAACGAATATCGTGCGTGCTCATCTCCTTCATTCGCGTGGTATTTCCATTTTGTGCGCTCATTCCGATTAACAAATGTTTCTCATATTGGCGGAATCTGGTTAAAGTGACCCATTAAGTATAAAAGTGGATCTTGTCAACATGCAACTGGTACGAGTTGCGCAACTAAAGGTGCCAGGAAGTCTATTTAAATTTAGATTACCTACTAAACAAAAGGTAATAAAGGGGAGACCGACAAGTGACATTTACAACATTTTATGTACTACAAGTGATTGTGTGAAGCTGTAAAAATATTTTTTTAAATATTTTGAAAGGTTATTGAAAACATCAACGTTAAGCTTTGTAGGAAATTTGCGACCAACCTCCTCTCGCGGTATAAGTGAATGATTGAATTAAGAATTAGAAAAGGTCAAACGTAATTATGTAAAGATATTAGCGTTACTTGTATGCATCCAAGTACAATGGAGATAAAAGAAACTCCGTTACTTAATCCGACTTGTTTATGAGATCTAAAATCGCGTACAATAGTAACAAATTTTTAGGATAAGGTAAAGACGTAATTGTTTTGAAATACGAAGCCAATTATTTATTTATTGATGGCTTAATTGTTAAAAAAACAAAGAGATGCTGCGTGCAAATGATGGGCAGTTGACTTTTATTGCATGTTGTTATAGCAACTGGAAAGATGTTTGCAATCCGATAATTAGGTACAGCTTCATTTAAATCTGCAACGATTTTGTGTAATCGAAGAAACATGGGGAAGATGCAGTTTTCGGAGATTGTTAAGAAACACAATATGCGTATGTGTATGTTGCATAATATCCTTTGGCATTTTCGAATTAATTATTCCAATAGTTATTATTTACACGTAATTTGCGAAATCAATTTCTGACCTGAGCCCATCCGGTGCATCTGTGAAATCCTCCAGTTGCCACATTTTCAACGTTATAAATCAACAATTACACATCGTAGGACCATTTCTTATAAATTAGTTGCTCAATGCATTGTATATTCGAATGGTTTTATAGAGATTAGGTATTCTAATAATTGGCCCGTTTATTTCTTACTTAGATATAATTTTTTTCGAATTAAGTTGCGCAATTCCCTAAACGTCTCAATTTAGTAGGTAACTGAGGCTAAAAACGATAATTTTAGACGTAGGAGGTAATTTGAAATGGAGATTTCGATGATAATTGATAACGCTCTTCTTTTACGTGATTGCAATTGAATTGTCTGCAAAAGGGGGTGATGAATAATGTAGAAAGTTGACGATCTTGTGAAGATTTACCGCATTCTCCGTAACCTTCAATTACGATTACTTACACCTGCATTTTTATTGTAATTTTAGAATCCTAATAAAGTAATTAAATGCGCGTAAAAGGTAAACTCTACATACGCACGAGCATTGCTTAAAAATTGCCTTGACAACCAAAGTACCTAAAGTGTTAATAAATATTAGGATACACACTCCCAAAAGTCAAAGAATGCCTTCGGGAAGTATTTCGCTCGAAGCCAATTAAAGACTCGCATGCAAATTAAATCTAAATACTCTATGACTTCTTCACTTTGTAGACGAATGGGGGATTTTATAAAAAGCTCTCCCTGTTTGAAGATATAAAAGCGGCGTCAACTGAAAACTGGCAGTATTCTGGTGTACACGACTTTAACAAACATCAACAACATGAAGACGGTGAGTGCTATTTACACATTCTATTACTTTTAAGATGTTACTTCACTCGCGTTTTCACTGCCGATCTCTCATTTAGGATGGTTTAGTACATGGAGTGTTGTGTAATAATTTTTTCTTCGTTAGAATTGTAATTGGATAATAAAAGTGCATATACAGTGATTACAAAACCTTAGTGACTGCTACTTAACACCAACAGAAATGGATACATATGCAATCATAGGAATTTATCTCTACTAAGTGATTTCTTTTTCTCTTGCAGGCCGTAGTTATCCTCTCAGTGTTCGCAGTCGCTTTGGCGCGTCCACAACAGCCGAGATCTCCTGACGCGGACGCCCAAATTTTAAAGTACAACAACGAAAACAACGGACCCGAAGGATACAATTTCGACTTCGAGACGAGTAACCAAATTACACGACAGGAGGAGGGCAAATTGGACAACCCGCAAGCGGAGGAATCCAACATGAGGGTTGTCGGAAGCTTCAGTTACCCGCTTCCCGATGGTAAAACCCTCAAGTTGACGTTCACCGCCGACGAAAACGGTTACAGACCACAGTTTACCATCTCATAAACATTTCTCGCATAACGCTCACAACTAAAGTTGTTATATTATTTTATATTAAAAGATAAATATGTAAAAAAATATGTAAATATATGCTTTTATTCCTGTTTCAATAATAAAGACGAGTCTGTTTCAAACAATATTTGTTTTTTGAGATCCATGCGTGTAGGTGATGTAAAGATTCATCAAAAAGTAAACAACTTTTTATTTTCTAATCGAGGATACTTCATCATCGTGTCACCTCCACCAATAAAAATTCTTAGTGTGTTGTCACTGAAGGTTAGCGATTATCGTTAATCAAATACATTCCCTACTGTGACAAAACTTTAACACTTTTTTTATAATAATCCTTCCGAGTGTCTGCCCAAAATGACCCCGTCAGAATAGTCACACCTTCTATATAATTTCAACTTACTTAGAAAACAAAGAAAAAGTATTTTTATGTAAAATGTAAATTGTTAGTACTCAATAATTGTACTTCCATGGAAATTGCAAACGGTAACAAATGCGATACACATTCTTCTGGAGGACCCGAATAGCACAAAGCTTCTTCTAAGATAATTCATAACAGCCGAATTGTTCTAATATTTGGTCAGTATTTCGCTTGCACTACAGCCTACATGTAATTAGGCCCCCTCTTCTAATAATTCAATTTTTGGTAAATTAAAAAAAAATGCTTGATAATTCGAGGACTAAGCAAAAAAACAAAGAAACAAAGAATTGAATAAATTGCCAAATGGCTCAAGCATCATTGAAATTTGTTAAGGGGGTGACCACTCCACCTAAAAAATCTAGGGTTTGAAACTGACTCTATTCCAGCATTTTTTTTGTCAATATTGAAACCGATTTATTAGGAGCGTAGATTTCAGATGGGACACTTCAATTTATAAACAAACGGATGATGATAGTTCAAAGTCTGTCAACACGATGCCACTGCCAACTCGACCTTCAGCCGGATTACGTGCAGCTCTATTGTAAATATTGCAGATTGCAATTGCAAAATGAGAATTATTTTAAAATCCTGCTATATTAGGTGAAGGATATAGTAAACATAAAAAAATGTTTACTAAACTTTTTTGGGCGGCCTCTTCTCTAGGGGCTATTTTGTATGCAGGTGACCTTGTTCTAATCTGTTTTAACGTGGCGAGAGGAGGGGGGTCAAGTAATTCAGATTTAGATTAAGCTTAAAAATTACTGAATCAATTAACTCATTGACAGATTCCTTCCTTTTGCTGTAGTCTTAGGGGGTGTGATGGTGTTAACGTAATAATAAAGCTGTCGGCAAGAAATTCATGTTTAATAGAAACGGCTGCCCTCTCAACTTCCCCACTGTATACACTTTCTTCCGAAAAACTAGTAATATCAAGTAAAGTTCGCTGGTAGCCCACAAAAGAACTTCAGAAGAGAAGAAGATTTGTTTCAAAAATGTATAAAAATATTTCCAAATTTTTTTGCAAAAATATAACAACAAGAATAGAACAAACATTATTTTAAGGGCAGAAATGGGTATAAACCAGGATTCTCTAAAGCAAAAAATATAGTCATTGTATATTGATCAATTATACAGCGGTGTAGTCCCTAGTTTTTATGAAGTGTTACTTTAATTTCATTCTGAAGGAAAAGGAAAATTGGAGGCCATGTAACTACAACTTTGAGTACCCGTTTCCTTATTTTCTTCGATTTTTGTTGTTTTCATACACTTTTTGTGCAATTTTCTTGCAATTAATTGATTATAAGACCTCCCTATTTCTATTAAGCATGGAATATGTACTTAAATTCCGTTATCATACGGTGATTGTGTTTTTGAGGTAATTTGTAATTGCCGGTTTAGGAACATTTTCGCCCCTAGGCACAACCCCCTTAAGTGCCTACCTGCTAATGGCACTTCAGTTTAATTAAAAAAATCCTTTTTTTTTTATTAGTATTGCTGTGTGCAACTGGTCCGTATGTCACAAAGACCGTACACAAAACACCAAAACAAAAACCTAGCTAGCTCTTTCCCTTTACTTATTAACACGGCACAAAACTTCTCCCCTGCACAGAGGATAGATTCGACTCTGCTCTCTGTTAACCTGTTAACTTCTAACAGATAGTGGGTCAAACCAAATACCTTAAACTCCAAACTGAACTGCAAAATTTTGCATAGTTAAAATCGCAAGAATCCAATAAAAACACAGGAAAATTAGAAATCGTCGTTAGAATGAAACACACGGAAAATTAATGACAATTACAAAAGTGCGATTTAATTCTAACACACACACAAGGAAAATGGTACAAAAACACAAACAATTATTACAAAAAGACTAAAATTAAAATTTAACTACTTACATTACTTGTCCAGGAATTGAAATTTCCAAATAAAAGGTATCCGTACACAGTTCACCAAAAATTATAATTTTCAATAAACACACTTTATGCTAACGACAGGGTAATCGCAGCAAGTATAGTGGCGTTGATAAACACCTCTCCTTGCAGCACCTTTGATGGCCAAGACTTCAAAATGTAGAACAAAAACTAGCCGCGAATTCGGCTTCCGTCTACGCAAACGAAACTTCTTCAATCTTCAAACTCACATTGAATGAAAACTTTCAATGCCGGCTGTGACTTCAAATGAGTACTAACTGGCCGTAAATCAACGATGGAATTCGCAAGAAGCGAAATAAATTCTCCAACAAAACGTAACTCGGTGCTGAACGTAGCAAAAAGCCGATTTCAAATTTCAATGAAACATAGTTCTTCGTTGACTGTTGCTAAAAGTTGATTTCAAACGTAGTACGGCGTAAACTCTGACTAAAAGCGACGTTTTTCCTCTTAGCGTCCTATTTAAGGCGAAAACCCTTCTTCCGAAAATCAAAATTGCAACAACCAATCATACACAGTTGACAACGACTATCCCCTCAACGTACGTTAATAGACCAAAAAATCGAATAGTTTTTATAAATCAATTCGTTATCAGACATTAAGAGACTTAAATTCTAGGAAAAAATAAAATTTCATCTCTCTTAACTACACAGAAAGGGCGATAAATCACATCCTCCTGTCAATTAAATTAAACATTTACAATTGATAACAGATAAAGACCAAACAAAATTCCCAGAAATTTCTATGCTAAATAAAATAAAAATGTAAACAAAAACAACCTTGACCGCTTTCTCGTATGACACAATAATCCCCATGCCGTTACATAGACCAACTACAAATTAATAAAATTTAATTACAAATGTTAATTACACAAGGAGACCGCCCTTGTCCATCTTAATTAAGACGTCCGAAAATTTCATCTTGCCAGACGAAATAAACACAGCAGTATTTAACAGTTACAAAATAAATGAAATAGGATTAGTTTACCAAACATTGACTCGGTACACGGCATGTTAAAGTCCATCAGTACGCTGACGACGCACAAGAAATCCCATTTTCCCATAGTTTTCAAATATGGTATGGCAAACTATTTCAAGTTGGGCGTTGGGGGCGACAGGCGCCTTTCCATATAGAGAAAAACACCTCTGAAGTAAACCATGAGGGCCATATAAGTCATATACCAAAAAATTCCTCTTTTTGTCACTACTGCAAATATATCCTAAACAAATTAAATTATGGAATAGTGATGTGCAACCAGTTGGGAAAAGCAATTGATGTGCAACCAGTTGCGAAAAGCACCATTGTTCGTAACGAGCGGATTTCTGCGGAAACGAGTGAAGCGAGTTCCGCAAAAGAAAGCGAGTTACGAATAGCAGTGTTTCCCAACGTGTTTCAGGCAATATTTTTTCTAATTTTGATACTTCTCATCACTAGTTGCGAAATATTATACTTTTCACAAGTGGTTGTGAAAAGTAAGGCATTTGACAATGTCAACGAGTCTTAAAAAGTGTCAGTTTAAATGTCAAAATTTAGAAAAAATAATAAATTGTTTATTTCGCGATAAGTTTGTCGATATTTCTTGAATTCTTTTCATACTGAAAAACATAAAACCTGATGGGAAAAGAAGATAGACCTTCGGCTCGTTCTAAACTATCCTCCGATTCCAGTGCCTTTGTCTCTATGCAACATTGATAAATCGATTATTAAAACCGACAAATTTGCTTTGCTGAAACTTCTTCAGGCCATCTTGTATACCTTCAAGGTATAGGACAAAAGATTTTACCACTCTAGGTAGGGCAATTCAGTCAGACGGACGAATAGACGGACGAACAAAACGCAAACAACAGCACATTTTTTTTTCTTTAAAAAATGCGCTAAAAATTGTCCTATATAAAGAGTAGGCATATTGTTTAAACAATACAAATAATTACTCCCCCCTCCCCTCTGAAAGGCTTCTGATTTAAATAATAATAAAAAGAACGAAAATTTACAAAATAGAGATTTATTAATGAAATCGGCCATTTTTAATTAAGAATTAATCTGATTCGTTTTTTCTAGCGAATTACAGAAGACCCCAAAATCTCGCGCTCGTTTAAATGTGCAATCTTGCTTTTCCCAGGGCTTGTAGTAAAATCGCACTACGCAGTTTTAGTCATGTAGGCTTAATTAAGATAATTTACTCTCAACGCCGGACAGAGTGGCGCAAAGACTTCCGAAACTCATTGACAAATTGCACCTAGAACCGCGCACCCTTAACGAAGGAAAAACAACCCCTTACAATCTCGCTCGATCTGAGATTCCTATGTGCGATAAATTCAACATATACGCTCAACGCAAATGCAACAGGTCAAATACAGTTTTGTAACATATTATAGAATCTAACCTTTGCGTTTCCCAAAAAAAAGGAACATTGGAAAATTAAGTATGTATTAATTACTTATGAGCAAGCTTCAAATTTGCATGGCGTATTTAAAGCCATTATAAAATATGCATGCATTTATGCAGAATAAAACGTCGAAATATTCACTTAAATATGCATTTATCTTTCTAATATAACTTTATACAAAAATAGAAAATGGCCAAAGCGTCAAATTATGTCTGTTGTCAGCAAATATGGATTTGTATCTACAAAAAACTTCTTTGAACCTCGCTGGGGCTCTTTTTGTATAGTGCACATTTTCAGTTCCTGTTCGAGCATCTTATGCAATTCATTTTAGGAATTGATTTCTCCGTTGGTACGAAAATTTGGAATAAATAGAAGTGACTGACTTTCTGTATCAATAAATATCAACGGTTTTAGTGCTTGCAAAATTGTAAGACATCCATTGGTTTTAACTACCGACAAAACCATTAATAGTGACACTTTGATAAATATGCAATAATTACAGAAAATATTCATAATATGCAGGAATTCGTAAAAACCGCAAATCTAATGCATTTATATGTACCTTCAAATTTAATTATGATTTATGAAACGCATAAAAATTAAAATTTGTATTACCTTAAGGGTCGCAGAGAAAACATGACTACTTTTGAGACTGTATTTAAAGTATCCAATTACAGTTGGCTACAGTTGACAAAGGTCTAGGTCATCCGGCTGAACCCCATGGTTTTGTGAGAGGAACATAGGAATTATTTATTAGTAGGTACTTCGCAATTTCTGACAGGTTCCGTAATGCAATACTTACTTGACCTTTACCTTTACTAGTATTTCATCAATTACTGTCCATGATCAATTGAATTTACCCGTGCGGTTTTCAAAGCCACAATGGCTCTTATGCTTATGACCAATTTTGAAAATCAAAGGTACCATATCTCTCTAAATTTGATTGTTATAATTTATTAAACTACCACCAACCATACAACCAATAAAAATTACCTACTTCATCTAATTTCTTTGAATAGAACTTGAAGAATCGCCATTTATCAAAACGCAGGCGGAATTTCAAACGATGTTGCAAATGTCAAAGATGTATTGTTTTAAAAGTAATGGTTTGGGCGTAATACACCTAATATAATAAATGGCATCATCCTCAAATACGAAAGGATGGGAGTTTCTAAGATTTACCTTCTTTTCGGATATAAAAGGCGACTTCAATCACAGAACCAGTATACTCTTACGTTAAACTGCAAACGCATTATGAAGACGGTGAGTGCATCATTTTTATATAACTTTCCCACATTTGTTACTGTCCATGTTTTTACTATAATTAGCAATTATTATCTAATTTCGGTTTTGTTTTACATCACCCGTTGCATCAGTAATTACGCCTTCATCTTCTGTATTTAAAATAATCCATCTTTCCTCAGGTACTCTTAATCCTACCAATTTTGGCGGTCGCACTTGCAAGGCCTCAAAGCCCTGAAAGTCAGGCGAAAATTGTGAGATACGAAAATGAAAATGACGGTATTACCGGATACAAGTTCGGTTTCGACACGGAAAATAGTATCAGCCGGGACGAGCAGGGCACGTTGAAAAATCCCGGCGCCGAGAATGCCGCAATGGAAGTGCACGGACAGTCTTCGTACACGGACAATACCGGAAAGAAGGTTTCGATGACTTACGTTGCTGATGAGAATGGTTTCAGACCGCGTTTCACAATTAGTTAGGTCGTCCAATTGTTTTGTTTGTTTCCTATTTCGCACTAAATAAAATGTTCTTTTACATTAGCCCTGGTTGTGATATTTGTAAATTGTATACATAGGCATAGGAACAGTGCTTGGTCTAATTAGACGGTAGCCCATACTGGAGATTTAGTTGAAGTAGGTTTACCACACCTCGGAACAGAAGTTAAACGGTGTCAAACTGGTGCTACACTAAGTACCTACGATTAGTCTTTCACAGGCAGAGAAAAACCGATTCTGTGCGAAAAACCAAAAACTCCTTAGGGAGGTTAGAAACATTATTACTATTATCGGTTTATCACGATACCATTGTCTTTGCTACTACTGTTTGAGTAGTGGTCCCAAAAATTTAGCTGCACAAAAGATACCAAACAATCCTCCAATTAATTTTGGGTCAAGATTATTCGAAGCCTGCCTAGTAAACCACGAACTTCATCAGTAGGTTTGGTGAAGAAGAAATGAAAAACCACAAAATTCACACCAATGTAGTCAAGTTTGATTAAGCAATGGTAACTGGAAAATTGGGTTCCACCCTCAATTCAGCACATATTACATAATTATCCTGTATTTCCTTTTTTCGTAGCTCAAAGTTCAATGAGCAAGTTTAATTCCGTTATAACTTCACATCAAAAGCAACAGTCTCTTTGGCATTTGAAAATATAAAGGATATGAAAAATGTAATATTTTGCAAAAATTTATAAGCGGAAGTTTGTATTTTTTTGTCAGACAAAAATCTCAAACCTCCACTCAAGGTTCTTCAAAACTACTACTTTGTTGGTATGATTTACCGTTTCCGTTTCGCTTCTTCAGACAGTTCAATCTAAAATATTGGACTGGTAAAGTTTATTATAGCATGTCCATATCCAATGTTCTGTGCCAAGCTGCACCCCATGATGGAATATCTTTTTTAAACTATCATTTTGAGACTATTACTTATAAATTGGTTGGTTGGTCGGCACGGAAATCTAGAGATTTCCAAGGGTAGAGCAGTTTAAGCGTTGCCCATCATACAAATTCTATAGGTTGACGAAATGTGGAGGGCCGATTATCTACTAAATTACTTAACTAGTGGAATTGTATTCGTAAGCCGTGGTGGAAATGAAACCCGTCTTTTCTGCGTCGGTTAATTTCTGTAGAGCTTTGTTTTATTAATGGATTCCGGATGTCTGCGGATTAGATGTCGGGGATTTAGATCATATTCATTCATTCATTCTTAATCGGAGCTTCTGGATTACCACTGTAAATTCGTGAGAAGACGGAATTTACAGTGCGAAAGGATAACCTCTTTCTCTTGTGCTTCATGCTCTTCTTCGATCGGGAAATATCCGGAAATATCCACTAAATCCGCTAAATAAAATCTTTCGGGGTTCGAGACCGAAAGTCTGTGTTTTTCGAGAATTAAAAAACCCAGGGATTGTTACGAGTATTTTGGTTTTATTGAAACGTAAAATAGCTAAAATTTAACAACGCGAGTTCCGTTAGTTACAGTAAAAAGAGAAGACACTTTAAAGTGAATTAATTGTAATGTGCCAGTTTTAGTTACGCAGAAAAAATACGGATTATTTCGAATTTAAGAGGAAGTAATAAAAAGTTATTGTCGAATTGTGCTTGCTAATGTTCATCCCGAGGGCAGCTACTCCCTGGTCAATTAATGGAAGAAAAAGTTATCCGACGGGAAAATCCTAATATACATTTCCGTTAGTTAATCTTCTACGTCATGGTCACTATAAGGAGGGTTATCTTCAGCCTAATTTTAGTATGTTAACTTAAAGAAAACCATCGTAAATCATATTAGACAGAAGTAAAAAAAATTTGGCAAGTAATTTTGAGTTGTATATTCCTAAAGAGATCAACCTAATGGCATATGAAACCGTTTTGTAATGCATACACTTTACCGTTTAGAAATCCATTAGAATTGAATTTGTTAGCTAATAGAACATATCACTTTTTTATTTAAAATTGGTGCGCTCAAATTTCAGTAATTTTCCAATTATTGGGTCCATTTATGAACTGTGTATAGAAAATTGTACCATATATCATTCCTAGGTTCAATAAGTTCATGTTAGTTCGAAAGTCGTGCCAAGGGAAAATTAGTCTAGTATATCTAATAGTCTAATATATCTAAACTTGACCACTATGACCACATGGGGTTTAATTTTGCGAGCAGGCAAAGCAAGAAAAGCAGCTTTTAAAGACAATTAGGAAATTCGGAATTTTTTCATTAAGTAAATCACTAAAAAAATCATGGTAAGTGTAGCAGGAGGTAAATCATTATAAATATTTGCTAAAAAATTCAGATTCATTTAATGAATTAGGTATATTTTGCTTCAACCCCTTTAATTACAATAAGCCTATTACACATTTAATGGCTACGTAGTTAGCACAGAAATATGCAGACCTTAATATGTGACAACACAATATATAAATTAACGATTAAGACCTAATTAAGGGTCTAATTTAACACCCTAATGCATATAGGCCATTCTTCTTTATCAAGATTTTGCGATTCATTCTTAAATTTGGCTATTCAGTGGTGTGCAATTGAAATATTCACCACAAGCATTGAATACTTTATACCCTCAACAGGCTTTCGCCCAATTACAGAGTGACCCTCATAATGCATTTTAGAGGTGGTCTTAAGTTATTCTATACTATTCCGGTATTTACCTTACGAATTACGAAAACTGCAGGAAAACCTAATTCGGAGTAGCCGGTAGAATGCTCGAAACTGATCTAAAAGGATATTCCCATCTCTACCACAGATGAAAAATTCACCTCAACTCAGGTTCGAACACCCGATTGTATCGAAAACCAACATGTAGGTAATCAAACGATATATCAAGGCGTCGTCGAAAATTCACCTTTGATCTGCGGGTCGCAACCTTGTGAGCTCAAAAGGGTGCATTCTGACTAATTTGTAACAGATCACATACAAACAAACAAAAGGGGTAGTGAATACCGCGGCACAAAATATTGCGAAAGTAGTTCTAACGTCGTCTGACACCCTGCCGAAGCCTGTTATGATATTAATACCTTCTCTGACTACGTGTTGATCCCATTTTTACTAAAAATTAATTGATATTTAAATATTGACCTTGCATATGTATATATTACAGTGTCTTATTTGTAATATGTTTGAGATCGTTTATTAAATTACCCTCGATTGTGACATCAATGATTGTTTATGTTTATCCCTATCAAGTATCTTATTTTTTGATTTGTCAAAACCAGAACAAAAATTCCGTAGTCAGCATTGTTTCTTCCTTTTGGATAAGTATTCTTGAAATTTACTAAAAACTAAGTGGCGCCTATCTGGTTTACTATTACTATATCTCTTTTTGCTTTGCTTTACTAGTATATAAGAACCCTGATAACCACCCCGACCCACCGCTACTTGGCCTGAGCTTACCGTGTGCCTATCTCAAGGTGATTTTGTTACTTTTGCCCAAACTGAACGTAACAAAGTTTTTACCCAAAATCGTCCTGAAACCTTCATTTTTATGCCTACTTTCTGTCAGGAAATTTGAGTTTCCGTAACAGAGCAGACTACGTTTCCTGCCGCCTGTCACTTTACTGGCCGCAGCTGTCACTTTACCGGCCGTACCGTCTCTTTATAGGCCGCAAATGTGACATTGCTAAATGTCAATAATGATTCATGTCATCACTGACAGATTGACATTAATCAAAAGTTCTATGTAAAAATTGAAATTGTATAACAAAATACGATCACAGAATACGGCCTTCTCAGAATAGAAACAGCAATGTTACAAATTTGTATGGTATTTTGGCGGACCCTGGTGGGTGTACTGTGAACTAAAGCAGCAAAGTCAGAGTAGCGCCATCTGGTGACCAGCTTCTAAAGCCATGAAGTCATTTCCCCAATTCGATCATAAATATCGATAAAGAATACACAGTTGTTAAATTAAAGTGTATTTAGATACAATCACATTACATTATTTTTAACACAGAGAATTTAAATTACATGTTTACAAATTACATATAAAACTCAGAAGTGAGTGGAACTTACGCTTTGTAGATGTTAACACTTTGTAGAAAGATCCTTACATATCGATTTGCCGTACGAAATATTTGGTTTTAGTTGCTGTTTGGACTAAATATTTTTGTTAAAAATATCTTGAGAACTAAATTTTTTGTTCCAAGAGGTAATAAAACTGCTTCAGCAAATTGTCATAAAAGTTTTTGACAACAAATGTTAACTTGACCCTGGTGGTTACTTGTTACTTGACAAGCGAGGGTGGAAGTTGTTGAATTATCTAAAACGAATTACAATATAAGTATCTACGTCTATATACTTAATTATAAAACTCAAGTCTACACCCTTTTGCGCTGGCAATTTATAAATTCCATACCTTGCATAAATAGGAGAGAAATAACAGCACATTTCAACCGTCTTCGCGTTTCAAGCACAAAACAATCTGTTGCAAAATATGGGAAACGATGCCTTTTTGATATTTCATCGTTACAATCCGTCACACAACACTTTTTACGGTCACATAACTTGTTCATATTTTAAATCTTTCAAAAGTCAAAATTGACGTGTAAAACCATGTGTACGTATAAAATCGACGGTAATAGTATTTTACATTATTAGCCAGGTAAGTGAGTTTTTACTGGCGATAGGAGAAGTTGACCGGCGAGCCGTCAGGCGAGCCTGTCATCTCCTAGAGCCAGTAAAAACTATTACCTGGCGTATAATGTACAATATTTTATTTGTTACTCATTTGTAAACGTAAATAATTAGTTCTTAAATTAATCTTGAAGAAATGTCTAAAATATCATGTTATCCATGTAACAGAGACTTCGCATTAATTCTGGCCAATGAAATTACTAGAATACTAACTTGTAAAATTTTTACAAGTCTGCTGTCAGTTTTACAAGTCAGTAGCGTTTAAAGATGACGTTTACCCGTTTGCGTTTTGTCTTGTTAATCAACGTTTACAACTGAGTAACAAATAAAAATATTTCCTGTAACGAGCAAAATTACAGGTTTTGCAAAAAAGTATTTGAGTCTGCGATAAATAGTTCTCCGTACAACCACGGGAAACGCTGTAATCAGTGACAATTTAGCGCCATTTATGTTTCTGTTCTGTGAAGGTCTTATTCTGTGAATACGATTTCGGGTAAAATTTACTACACAACTCGTAAGTAAAATGACATTACTTGACTCGCAAATTAAAGTACTTGGCTCCAAAGTCCAAAGGGGCCTCGCACTTCAATATTTCCTCGCCAGTAAAGCGTCATTTTCCGGACTTTTATGGAAATAACTATTGTGTTAAAAATACAAATGCTGCTTCCATCAAAATAGTCTTATCAAAAGAGGGGGTTTGGGGTGGACTGGTTTTTATCCTTCATGGTACTCTAATAAAAGTTCTCAACGAAAGGAATTAATTTCTACTAACCATATCTCTCCTCCTCGACCCCTTATTGTGATTGGATATAATTCCTTATATCTCAAGAACCGATTGACGGAGGAAGGTACTCACAAAGTGCGATTGCGACGTCTGGAATAAATATATCCATTGATGATTTCAAAACTTTAAAAGAGAGCATCTCGAAAACGGTTTGTCGGAGGAAAATGCTCTCAAAGGCAAAATGAATCGTCTTGTGAATATCATGAAAATGTTAGAGGAAAGTACCTACAAATCGAAAATGCAATATTTCAGAGACTTTCTGTAAGGGCTTGATTCTTCTTGCATTATATAGAGTAGATTTTGAATGTATGCCAACTAAATAGTTCATCAATGAAAACTAGGTATCGCAATTGAGAGTTAAAATTTCTTCTTCTTCAGAAAATTTCGTTCCACCCGCATGGTACTCAGGCAGTTAAGCATTTTAGGGTAGCTCTGGGTTACATTTAAACAATCCTATTCGGTCTTCAGACACCCTATATGTTACGACCCTATGTCCTTACAATTCCCTCTAATTAGTTAGTTAGGTTCAAATCTAAACCGTGTTAAGTTATGAATTGTTGGGAAAGAACTGGTTTTGCCAATGGCCATAACACTTTGCACTCTCAAGGTACAATTAAGTTCGATTTAAACTATCTTGAAAATGATTAGCATGAGTCACTTTTAATTAAACTACCGGCATTACATCCAGCCAGAAGTAAAACGACTTACCAATATGTGAAGGATAAATATACTCTTTAGGTCATTGTCACTTCTGGGACCTTGTTTCGAGCGGACGAACATAATTTATCCCATTTTTTTCAGCGACAAAGAGCAGCGCTTAACTTTACAACATCCATTCTTCTTGATTGGTATAAAACTATTAATTTCCTTATTAATATTCTCGAAAACAGGCTTTTGATACTGTTTAAATGTTAAAAACCGCATAAGCATGAATATATAATCTAAAGGATGACACAATTTACAAAAGATGCGTCAAATAAATACCTACCCCCTCTTTTTTTCTATATAAAAGAAGTATTATTCTCTACATCAGAACTAGTTTTGTTAAATTAACAGGTGAAAATTGGTGCCATGAAAACGGTGAGTGCAAATCACTTTCGATACTTATTAAATTGTGTTGAAAATGTGCATGATTTTTAGGTCATCGTATTAGTGGTGTTAGCATTTGGTGGGCGAAGTTATTCCCATCCCCAAAATTTAGGTGATGTTACTGCTCCAGCACAAACCATACCTGTTGAAATACAACAAGTTCCACAGCAACAGTTCAGTTTTGGACCAAGCGAAACGACGACTGATGCTTCAAGCTACTACGATTATAGTTCTTCGTTGACAACTGAAGGCAGTACTCATTACGAACAGGATGCCTATCAACCATCTTCAAGTGACTTTTACCAATCAAGTCAGTACACTTCTCCTCCACGCTCCCGAGGTTCGGCACGCTATGGTGTATCCCAACAGCCACGCGAATCTGAGTTAACCTACGTGCGCCAACAAACACAAGATTTCACCAGACGGAGGACCGTCACACCCAGCTACCACACCGACGAAGTTCCAACAACAACCCAACAACCCTTCCGTCGATTCCCTCAACAACAACCGAACACTATTCACGATGACACACAGTCAAAATCAAACTCAAAGGACGAAGAGACAACCTCCAAACGTCGCGGAGGCCGACGCCACCCCGACGCAGACGCCTACATCGTACGCTACAGCAACGAGAACAACGTGCAGAAGGGCTACAAATTTGGATACGAAACCAGCAACAACATGATGAGAAACGAGGAATTGGTCTTTGAAGATCCGGACCACGCTGATCAGCCGACAATCTATGGCGGATATGAATTTACCGATCCCGCAGGCGGAAGAGTTGTCGTCACTTACACCGCTGGAATATTTGGATTTAAGCCTATCATCAAATATATTAAACCGTGAATCATGCAAGAATCTTTAAAGTTCAGTTGAAAATTTACTATTTATATATCAATTTGCATAAATGAAGTAACTGTAACTTATGGTAAGTAGCTAAATTGATTATAGGCTGAATGTGATTAAGAAATTGGAAATATTAGTATTAAATATATGCATAATTAGTCGGTTATATTTTAATGAAGAACCTTTCTTTGAGTTTTAGCAGAACATTTTATGAAAATCTAAGTATCTAGTGGTATAGCGACGTGGTGACATCTGGAAATAGGTAAATTATACGTACCTATATGGTAAACTACCCCCTTCTTGCACCCACAGCTAGCCCAGGGGATCTTCAACCACACATTCCCAAAAAATCGCAACTGCTTGAACTATTTTTTCTCTTTGCCGTTTTTTTGGCATAGAATGACTAGATTATTTTGACTGTTTATTGAAATGGTGAGTCCATTTAACTTACTGGCACGATTCAAATTCACGTATTCTGCAACCCTCGAGCGCGAACATCAATTTTACATAATAACAATGTACAGACAAACAATTTCGGGTTTCTCTCGATATTTCCCGCCAGACGGGCGCCATCTACTTTCCTAGACTATTAAACGGCGAGTCCGATAACCCTTACCTAACAAAATATAGAGCGCTAATTTATATTTCGTAATACTCAACTCCAAAAACGATTCAATTCTTTAATTTGACGACACCAACCCACCAAAATCTAATTAATAACGTGCCTACACCCATGTGTCCTAATTACTCTAAAATCGAAAAAAATTGAAATGGGCTACCGGGCTCCCTTTACATAATATATGCCATAAAAACTCTTAAGCTTGGATCTAAAAAAATTAATTACAGTATTTGATATGACCCTAAGGGCCATTCCAATCAAGTAAAACGCCTACAAATGGATAGATAACAATTCGAAAACTAATTAAGTAATGTATTATTCCCCTTCGGAAATATGACCCAAGAAGAAACCAGGAATGAGAATTTTGGAAAAAAAAAATTTTACTTTTGATTTTTAGGTTCTTGGCATTCCGATTAAGAGCTAAAAAAATTAATTGCAACGGACTCGTTAAAATAAGACGACAATAGATTTCTTAGAATAGCGAAATTTCATAACATGAACATAATTATAATTCCATAGGCGTAACTCACTGGAATTTGCAGGAATACTTAAGCACTCTAAGGTAGCGCCAAGAGCCATGGGTCCCTTTTCCCATTTTAAAGAATTTGATACAAAATAATGACCTTTTACATTCTCCCAAGCGATAGCATATCTCCCAGAACCCGACCTTTAACTAATAAAAATTGTGATTACTGAATCGTCCAAATGTTCCTAAAATTTTCCTAAATTTTTAGGAAAATAAATATGCGTGCAAAATTAAAAATGTATGTATGAGGGGTTTAAAGTTCTAAAATAGAGATTATTAGAGTTTCTCCATAGACTAGATACAAAAAATTTCAACATCTGTGGAGTTTATAACATTGCAAGATTTTCCATGGAAGGAATTTTCTCTCCGAATTTACTTATATAAAATGTTCTGCGTTCGTTTTCCAATATCAAAATTGTACTCAGGTCCAAATTTTGGTTCTTAGTATTATTACGACGAACTTCGGTAGTCCGCACGAAATCAGTAAGCTTTTAAAATAAACGGTGTAATTAGTTAATTAAGTTTAAAGAAACTTTATAATTAAATTAAGTCAATCAACTCAAACGGAAACTGACGGAACGGGACGAGCACACGAACTCGAGCGCCACCAAGCGATACGGACGCGATGGCACAGATAACATGTCGGAGAAACGGTCTCCAAAGATCTTGCGGGCAGCGGAGATCGGCTTCTGGCGAAGGTTCCGAAAGCAGAATTACGGTAACGATTGCCCTAACAGGGACGCAAGCAACAAAGCACAAATTAATTAACGGTAGCTACAGAAAATCAAATACGGGAAAACGAAACAATAACCCTCCCTTATAACTAATCAAACAGCAAGTAGGAAAAAGCTTACCTTGCAATTAAACGTAGCGGCAGAAATTTATGTACAAGTAAAAGCAAAAACGGTAAATACGGTGCGATACACTTAATGCAAAATAAAAATCAAACGGTACGGTTGCCAAAGTAAATTTATGGAAATGCTCAAAATTGCGGAACTTACGAAATGTAACTTACGAAGATGCAGTAGATCCCCCTTAAATAACGACTTTGCCATTTATAAAATTAGGCCATTCCATGGAGGGATCAACGGTTTTTTCAACCGACCACCGTATTCGGTTATTTACACCCAAAAATTAAATCTTCCTTAATTCATTGTGCGGTCTTCGGACGTCCTAAAAATCTGTAATTAAGAAAGCTTATTTTGAGACCCCTCACGACTGTTTCGGATACTGTTTCTGCATCTTATTTATCGAAAATTCGGTAATCCAATTCACACCTATTGTTGGAATCGTTGGAATCAACCGGCGGGGTCGGAGATAGCAAGCTGATACGCGTAGACTGCACGGCCTCGACTGGTTTTAAGCTTGTTCTCAATTAACATAGGAAACTAAAACCGGCTTATAATGACTTAACAAATTTGAAATTCTAAAATATTAATTCGCCTCGTCTTCTAAATGGCAACGCAAAAAAATAATCGAAATATCTTGACGGGAACGATTGCAAACGAATGATTAATTACAGATTTTGTTTACGGTAGCGGCGGCTGAAGCACAAATCTACAAATTAAATTAAGTAGATTTACCTTCTTTCTATCTTCAATTGGCATATTTTTCAAACTACCCCACCATCCCTTTATGCAATAAGCACAATTCATACTGACTTAATACAAATCTTAAATTAAAATACCCTACTTGTGATACCCCTTTGTAAAGCTTATTTAACATGCTAACCTCCAATGTTAAGGTAAGTACAATGCCTATAATTCTATTTCTTCTGCGAATAAAATGACGAATTTTTAATAATTTCAATTGGTTTTTCCACGCTATAAGCTAATTTTTAAAATAAACAAAAAACCAGATGAAACATAAAACCAGTAAATTAGAAAAAGCGATACCCTACTTTTTTATGACCAGATAAAAGCATGTTTAATAAGCTTTTCAGAGAGGTGTCACAAGTGGGGTATTTCAACTTAAGATTTTTACATCAGTATGAGTTGTACTTAAGGGGGTGGTGGAGCAGTTTAAAAAACAAGTCGCTTGGATTCCCCTGGTTTTTAAAGAAATGTGATTTTTTATTTTTTGGATATTTCTCTGTAATGACAAAATATAGCCATTGTACGTGTTCAAAGGCCCACACTGTATAGAACGCTTTAGAAAAATACGCCCCTCCAACATTTTGGCTTTGTTTATTAGGCGCTATAATCACAAACTGAAAGGTTCAAACTGCTGAACTGGGTGACTTAGATCAATTTTACAGAATTACAGCCGTACAGTGGTACGCTTAGTCGAGATTTTTTAGTAAGCCTTTCTTTTTTTGATTTTCTTCATCGTCAATCATTCAAAACAGACAATTAAATTTCTAATACGGACGATCAACTGTCAAATCTCGAGCTGGTATAGTTCAACGTTTACAGGGTGTACAAAAACGAGCTGGGTAAATGATGGTCTGGCCCTTTCCAGCTATAATATTTTCAATTATACCGAAAGTTGACTCTCACTTGAAGCCCTAATTTAATTATTTTAGTTCTACGCAAAACTTGAATGAAATTTGTTTTTGAATTGTTTGAGTTCCTCCAAAATACAGTGCGTTCGAGATAAGATGGTCACCTCAATATCTCCTTTATTTCGTGAGATACGAAAAATTTGTCTAATATAATTTTATATGTGACATTACGATCTATCTGGTCGCATATTCAAACTTCCGGTAACACTCCCGGTTTAACCCGAAGTTTTGTTTTTCAAATGCAATGTCTATGTTTTTTTTGCGATATTTAAAAAGAGCAATCAATTTTCTGTATATAACATAAAATATGCAAATAGTTGATTTACAAAAAATGCAGAAATTCGTGAGTCAATATTTAGAAAATTTATAAAATCTAGCAATCTAGACTGGCGCATGAATTTTTTGGGATTTTTTATGTTTTACACAATGCGTCATTTGAATACTGGGCGTTGAAAAAGATTATCTAATTGAAAAGGAAAATTAGAAACTTCCCCAGACGATCAAATAGTCAACGATTTCAAGCTGGTACAGGCTTTTGACTGTTGTTAAATTTATAGCAACGATCCTATCCCCAAGAGGAAGTAAGATTTTATGTAAAAGAAATAATGAGCTTTAGACACGCCAATTAGATTTAAAAATGAAGACCTTTTAGGAGAATTAACAAGTTTTAATAAAAGTTCCTCGAGCGTTAATTGTATTTAAATTATATTCAAATCGCCACTCTCAGGTACTACTCGACAAATTTTACTACGATGACAAGTCAAAATTGTAATTCGTGTTAATACATTTACAGCAATTAAAACAGGTTACAACTAAATATGAATAAGGCTTACTCAAGGAATGGTTAGTCTACTGCTAACTTCCTTTAAATGCTGCAAATAGTAAAATTATCAGTTATGAAACATAAGATTCCCCCCTAACACAGCGATCGAAGTGTCACCTTTACGTGAAAGAAAGTAAATCGTTTCAGGAAGACGACTTTTAATGCAAATTTGATGCAAATATGTCCTTTTATCATGTTTAGTAGACCAACGTTAATACTTTTAAATTAAATGGCAATATCCGTTTGGTCCACGCGAATTTATAATAAATCACTTTTAACATGAGAATAAGCAACGCATCGTGTGTGAAGAATGCGTACTGGCCTACTCCTACTTTTAATTCTTTCAAGTCTATAATGACACTAATTAACAATCTTCTATGTTAAATTAACATTTTTACTATTTTCACTTTTAAAACCTTTCACGCATCTGTTAACGAAACCTGTAAATATCGCAATGCGCTTATAATACCTAGCCAACATGAAAAGGGGATGACCAAGCACGCCGGAAAATAGGTACATCCTTTAAAGTGCTAATAGCAAGATAACACTAAGATAGAATGGTTGTGAAACGCGATTATAAAACTTCAAGTTCGGACGCTGGTTTCTAGGAGGATGCAATATCAAATATGAATACATCTAAATATACAATGAGAACGGCATTTGATTAAGATTGAAATTTCATTAGTGGTACCCCTCTATTTCTGCTCGGATATATAAAGGATCATCCAGTTCAGATCTGGGAGCATTCGTGTGTTTGGTTACTATTAAAAAAACACAAAAAGATGAAAGCGGTAAGTAATGAAAGAGGAGATATTTGTGGTCATTTTTTTAATTATTTGCAGGTAATTTTCTTTTTGCCCCTTCTTGGGTTGGTAATTGGACAGTCTGATAGACCGACCGGAGAATACAATCGTGCCCAGGACGTCGCCGCCTACATTGTGAGATTCTCGAACGAAAATGACATTGAAAAGGGGTACAAATTCGGCTTTGACACAAGTAATGGTATCAGTCGCGACGAACAGGGAACTTTGACAAATGTCGGTACGGAACATGAAGCTATGGAAGTCGTGGGTGGCTACCAGTACACAGACCCATTACAGAGAAAGGTTACCGTAACGTATACGGCTGGTGTAAATGGCTTTGTGCCCACAATTACATACTCGTAGTGTCCTATCATGTTTTTAACTATTTATTGATGATAAATATCAAATAAAGTCAATTGTGTTAATTTTACTATATTGTGTTTCCACAGAATCATTGAATAATTTTTTTATTCAATGACATAATTTAGTAAATAAATTACAGTTGCATAATTGTGCAAAAGAAAGTAAATAATAAATTAAATGTTATGTTAAAGTAGCATTTTAAATAATTTAAATTAGAATGTGACCCCCTTTTAACTAACCCAACACGCATTATAATGTCCACGCGAGTGTCCACGTGTCTTCTTCCTATTTTGCTCAGTTTTTGCATAAACTCGCCAAATTTGTCATGGATCTGGTACATAAATATAACTTGCGAATAATGAATGGAAACTTGGACCACACACATTTAGTATTGTAGTCAATACATCCTTATTTTTCACGTGTTAAATGTTCGAGATATTTTATGACTACCATAAAGTTGATTACCTTTGATCTCTGCTCATCTACAATGGCTTACCTAAATGCGGAAAATTACTAATTTCTACGTCCGTTATCGAGGGAAATCTCCTTCTTCCTGACATTGGCCTCTAACAGCTCTTCCTACGTTAAACATGAATATCTCGCGAAAAATTAAAATAAATATCTCGTAAGAATATTTAGCGGTCGCACCAGAGCAAAGGAAATCAAAGAAAGTGGTGTCATCAAATCTATGATAGAATTATAGTAAATAGTAATAGTAAATTTTACACAAACTTTAGATCTTCAAAGATCCGTAAGGATTTTACCAACACTGTATTGAGTTTCTGTTAGATAACGAGGTTAGATTGATTAACTGCATGTAAATGGGTCTTGAAAATTATTACTTGGGAGTTATTCTGAATGCCGAAGTGATGTAAATTATTTTCAAAATGGCGGCACTTCCGGAAATATGAGAAGTACCTAGATAGTAACTTCGTTATTTTAAATGGCAAGCCCTACTTTTTATTGCATTCTGACATGGGTTTTAAACTATGGAAGGAACAGGCACTGGTAAGAACAGAACTTCTACATTACCCAACCACTAGGTAAACTCTCTACTGTATTCCAGACAAATTGGTAGGACTAACGCTTAGTGCAAGAAAAGTTCTTAGGCATAACATAAAGAACAAAACTATCAAAATCTCCAGTGACAGCAGGGCTGCACTGCAGGCACTTAGTTACTGTGTAAAATTACCTCTAGGTTGGCTTCATATCACCATGCACTAGAGGAAGTAGCATGCAACAACACCCTTTAGCTAGTATCCAGAACTGGCTCCTCCATTTACAGTTGCAACTGTAAATAACTAAAGTAACTCAAGACGCCCAAACTCAACACAAGCCTAGGTGGAACTTAATGTTAGATTATCGCCATAAGAGAGAAACCTTCAAAGGACCATCTCATAGCCTGCCGCGATTTTGCACAGGGCTATCAAGAAAGAACCTGAGATTTCTCGTGTGCATACTTTCTGGGCATTATAAACCAAACAAGCACATGCACTGCATGGGTATGGTAGAATTACTATCCATCGACGACGAGACGGCACACCACATAAAAATGGGGGTAGTTCGTGTAGTGTAATTACATTAATATGCCTCGGCTGCTCGTCGGTTAATAACCCTCTTCTGGCCTCAACGAAAAGGGTAAAAGGTAAAATAGTAACTGAATCATCTTGATTAAAATTTGAATGGTTCTCATTTTTCTTAAAATAGCCTTTGCTGTAAGACACCACATTTTAATAAATGGGGTTGAGGCGAAACGACGAACGCAAATGGTTAAACCACATTCACTTGCAAAAATCTAACTTCGTATTGGTAGGAAACGAACTACAATACGCAAGTAGTTTAAGAATATTCAGGCTCAAGTCGAAAATTTTATTTGGCGTCCACAAAACACCGTCCGCAAGTAGGTAATAGTTATTTACATATGAGTATGGTAAATCAAGGTTTACGTTAACGAGTGAGATGTTTACTGCCGAAGCGTAGCTGAGGCAGGAATTTCGAAACGAGTAATGTTAACTGATTTAACATACAAGTAATGTAAAACATTTTATTTCATACTACTCTTTTTTTTAATTAAAATGCCATACAATTTTTGATTAGAATGTTGTACGCATTCAAATGCAAACAAAAGTCAATCACTTGATTTGTTTGATCTGACAGTAGTTTGACACATTAATATATAGGTTTATATGGATGTCAGTTGATGTTGCTAGGAAACATTTCCAGTCTGGTAAAAGATTTCAGTCTGGGAAAATACGATTTACCAGACTCAAATCAGTCTGGGAAAGCGGCGATTACTAGATAGTATGAAATAAATAAAATTGTCTGTACATGAATATTTTTTTTATTGCCTTTATGTGTTAGCTTAAGCTAATTAGCTACTCCCACTCAACCCACTATACAATCACATACAGCTATGCCTTACTTGGGAGTCGAACCCAGGATCCTTGTAGCTAAAGTTAGAGCTACTAACGTATACTCATCTGAGCTACGCAGGTCGGCCGTTATACTATTGAGGTACAATTACTCTGACTCTGGGGTAAAACTACGATAAGAGGTAATTCTACAGCGGGGCGTGCTACGACACAGGTAAATACCTCGATTGTTTATGCACTAGGAGCTCTCGATGCGCTTTCATGGATGCTTCAATGTGAAATGGTCTGGATCCGCTCCCAGAACTTGGACGTACACAGACCGACCAAAATTTAGTGGCTTCCCATTGATTCGATGTGGGAATGGAAACAGATGTGCTGTTTTCTGTTTCGGAAATTCTCGACTATTCGTTCTCCTCTCGAACATGCTGCTCAAAATCTTCTTCAGCGGTAGGGCGTAGGCTGGCTGTCGGAAATATCCGGTTCTCGGCGTAATTTCGTCCTAAGTATCACCACGGAGACGATTGCCTTGATAACGCACGACTCCGAAAGACAAATGGCGCAGATTCAGCGTCTGAGGGTGTCCGTAGAATAACTTCCGAACGCTTTTCACTTATATTTATATGCATCCCTACGTTATCTACCGTCCTCGTAAGCGCTTATCCGTACTATGACGAATCTCTCCTTGCGGTTATTAGAATGACTCAAATCAGTCACCTCATTCCGAATATACATACGTAGTAAAGCAGTATTTACGAGCCTATTCTATCTATGAAATGGTCAATGACAAAAGTAATGATTGCCTAATAGGTAAACTCTGCAGCATAAACAACCAGCACGTCTATCACATTGGGCTCCGTCTGTTTCTTCAAGGGAGATACCTTAATTTGTTGGTTCGTATGTCCAAGTTGCACAATCTATTCAAATGTTGGTTGCATATGCTGCAGGATGTACCTATTCGGCGATCATTACTTTTGTCAATCACTATACATTTCTAACTTTATATGTCTAGTACCCTTTTAGGCCACCTAATTATCATCTCACTCTCGTACAATTTACATTATTTATATGGCGTTTAAATGTACCCTTAGTTCAACTTTGTACCCTCTACTTTAGGATTCGTGGCAATAGTAATTTGCTGGTTGAAGTTACACCCTAGCTCGTAGTGGTACTCATACAGAATGCAGGGCGTTCCATAGTTTGACAGAGTTAAGTTTGTCTTTCAAAGCGTAATAATTTGAAATTTTCACGCTTTGACCATCTTAGTTACTGTCCCACTCCCTCAAAACCCTCAAAACCACTTTCAAAACCACCTCTTACTGAACATATGAGAGCATTTTTATTTGAATTATTTTTGGCGATTTTTCCCCGCCGAATTACGCAGAAGTAGGAATTTTTAAATTTGTAAAAGAGTCAGTCAGTGTTCTGAAAATATTACTCCAAATAAATATTGTTAGTGGTAGTTTCAAGTTTCGTTTTGATGATTGGGATGAATGTGATGTACCTCATTTTTCACAGTTTTGTTTTGTTAACTGTCTTTAATCGCGATTCGCATCAGGAAGTCTGGGTCTGGTTTTGAATTACACTCTGTGAAATAGTCTTATTTGGTTACTTTTGCATCTCAGTTAATTAGGAATAAAGCTGTAGGAAAATGCTAGTTCAGAAAATTTGAGAGTCGGCTACAACCCTAAAAGCCTAAAAGACCACGGCCCTAACGATTCCACCACTCGTGGGCGTTAAAGAATTACTGAGTAATTCAGAGAAGGGATTTACTATCTGGCAGTCAAGGGTTAAAATACGGTCCCTAGAAGATTCGCTTTCTGTAAACGCGAGTCCACAAAAAGATTTCGCCAACGAGTTACTAAAAGCGCAGACGGTTTGTCCCTCTACTATTCTCTTGATCGGGCGTAAAAATTTTGATATAAAAAATTAAAGTTAGTTAGTTAAGCTAATGTTTGGTTCATCATTTAACAAATTCGTAATCGTGCAGTATTAATTAAATAAGAGACTTCGTTCGAAATTATGAATAAAAGTGTTGACAGGCGCATTCGTTAGAAACACACCAGTAGAAAACCGACGTATTTGCACAGCAAAATAAACGTGAAAAATGTAATTAACCCATTCTTTCATTAAACCAATAAAATCTAGTCAATAAAAGTTCATAAAGGGCAAATTTAGTGCAAGCGCTTATTACATAAGAGATTTCTTCAATAAAAAATGAAGTTAAATAAATGTGAATGCGTACGCACTTTTAGACCATATTTCATTTACCAGCAAATAACCAACACCGGAAGCGGCCTATAATATCTATCAATACTCACATTCAACCCAGAAAGTCGTTATCCGAAGATTTCCCTATCGAAGAGTTTTAGGAATGCAGTTCTCTTAAAGATCGACACCCTAATTGACGCACTGTAACTAACCATTGAGGATTTCCACCATTTCCACCAACAAGAAGAATTGTAAACCAAGGTTAGTTGCACCTATTTATTTAACTCGTGACAGTAAATAATGAATCGATATAAAAAAAATCAAATTAGAGAGCGCTACATTTATATTTGATCGTAGGAAGGTCAGAATAAAATGGAGAAGAAAATAGAAGAAGGCCAACATAAAAAGGAAGGCGCATTGCAACAAAACCTGCGGAAAAATGGCGCCCAACGTGGGGCTTTGGCGTAGGGACTGCTGTAGTTCTGAT